GTAGGGGGTGGCCCCCGATTATCCAGATTTCGCAGTGCAGGCTCAGACAGCCCGGCGGTAGCGAACCAAGGTACGTACGCATACATCTAGTTTGTTTTTTTTACTTTCTCGCTACAGTTTATGCAGTAGAGAGAAAGTAATGTAATGCTGCGCGAAAAAACGGCGAACTTTCGGCAGGAAACTCTTATTTCAGAGCTCTGGTAAAGAAAAGGGGGATAAATCCACTCGCTAAATTTACAAAAAAAATCCTCTTACACGTTTTGTAGCCAGACAACGCTAGCGGCTAATCCGTTCAGCAGATTTTCTCCGAAATTGATACTCCCCAATCGATCTGCCTGATGTCGCGACCCCTTGAATTTGAAACCGATTTTAATTTTGGGGGGTACTTTACAGGAAGTCCCTGGGACATTTTTCAAATGTTCAAAAAATGGTTCGAACTTTTTTATTATTATTTTTGTTGTTGTTGTTGGTTAGTGTGAAAGACGTTTAAAAGAATTGTGTTGGTCTCATGTTAGTTAAAAACCGTAATTTTTCGAAAATTGCTAAAGTTCAAAATGTTTTCGAAGTCTTCCTTCAACTAAAATATTAATGAGATTTATTCCCTTAATGAAATATTTTCCTTAATGGTATATTTTGAAATAAGGTCATGTACAATTTTTCGAAAAGTTGAGTACGTTTCTCGTAATTTTGCGTGAAAAAGGAACCAGAGAGTACGTGCTGTTTTCTAGTTCAAGACATTCTCGCTTGGGAAATTTTGAGCGATAGGAGGCAAGAAGAGCCTAAGTCTCCTAAAAAAAATTGCGGTTTAGTGCGATAACTGTGGTTAAACATCCGCAGGTTTGCCTACTTCTGCAATATTTTAATAATTAAGTAATAGTTTTAGTCCAAGAAAAGTAGGATTTGAAGTGGAATATATTCTCGAAGAGCTGAAGATTGGTGCAGTTCTTCCTTTAGACATGTTAAACAACATACCAAAATCCCTATAGAGGGAGAAGGTGAGTCAACAGGTGTGAGGGGCTTAAAAAGGCGCATTTATTGCTCACTCCAATGATATCAATTTAAATTCTTGCTTTTCACAGCAATGACAATCCTTTGAAATTTCGAATGCCTCACCAACTATGGGCCATCCCAAAAACTTCTAAACCGTTCACGTTATCAAAAAGCAGTATTTATTGAACAATGCAAAGTCGAGGAGCAAGTAATGTGCTCTAGAGATATTGTTTGAATAACTTGTAGTTTTCAGGAAATTTATTCATCTTTGATTTTTTTAAATGGAACTCTAATTTTTTTTTTTTTAATTGCAATGGATAGATCCAGAGGCATAGTTTGAGTGGTCACCATTTTAGCACTGACAGCAATTACAAAATGTTCTATTTGGAAGTACAGTATGTAATTATTTATTTAAATATTATATTTCAATTAATTTGAATTACCTAGTTTTTTTAGTATATTATCAATAGATATCATGTACAAATATACTTTTATTTGTACAGAATAACACATGAACTACTGGATAGATCATAAAAAGAGGAATTCAATGATGTATCATATGGAAATGTTTTGATAGCAGTTTTACTATAAAATTATACTTTCTGATATATTATTTGAAATTAAACTGACAAAAAATTGTATAGCCCTTGCAACTCGCTTTTGGGGTAGGTGGCTGCATCCCCCTCTCCCCACAACAGTGTCGACACAGTGTCTGTTAATGTCACCTTCCGAAATTGTGATATTTGCTAGTGCTATTAAAGGAAAAATTGCACATTTAACTTAAAATCAAATGTCCAAAAGTATAATTTTATCCTCAAAATTCTATCAAAACATTAACATATATTACATCATTGCATCCTTCTTATTATGATCTTTCTATTGCTAGTGACAAAGACGTATGGTTCCTTTTAAAAAATCAAAGAAGATTAAATTTTTTGAAAACCAAAAATATTTCAAACAATATATCTACAGCATATTCCTTGCTCCACAATTCTGCATTGTTGAGTGAAATCTGCATTTCGAGTAGAATTTATGGAGGTGGCTCATAGTTGGTGGGACTTCCTGTACATGTGTTTCAGTGACAAGTCGTGCATCAATGTTCAGTTTAATGTAACAGGTCATAGCTGGAAGAGAGAGAAACATTCCTTTATGTAATAGCCGTATAGTACCTATTATTCTTGGAATGTTAGTTCACTTGCTTTCAAAGTTTGGTGTCAAGTTATAGTTACATTTTCTATAATTTCTGTGGAAAGAAATAGTTGGTTCTATGTAACGTGAAAAGGGAAATGGTTGTCAAACCAAATTCGAACTTCTTCCCACTCCCCCACCCATACTCTACCACCACCCCCTCCCCTCATCTTAAAAAAAAAGAAATATAATCTGTAACAGTTATAAAATTGCCCAACACGTTCAAAAACTTTCATTTTTTTTCAATTAAATGTGCCTCATTTTAAAACATTTCTAATTTGCCCCTCCCTTCTACGATCAAAACTGTTGAAAATAGAAAAAATTTAAAGGTCAGTTTTGTAAGCAATATCTTCTTTTATATCATAGTGAGCTCCAGCGTTCAGCTAAAATTCAACTAAATGCGAGATACATGCGAAGCACTGAAGAATGAAGCCTCTAAAGACCCTCCAACACCTGTTAGCTTACACCCAGCTACATTGATTTTCAATACATTGTTTACTATGCCTAAAGGAACAAGAATCTTCAACTTTTGTAAAATTACTTTTGTTTTAAGATTCAATTCTGATCTGTCATCATTTTGAACTCAAAAGTGATAAATATTTAAACTTGTTAATATTTGCTTTTGCACTGCATAAATTAGCATGAACAATTTATTTTTGTAAAATTAATTTACAACTGTAGTTAAGAAAAATAAGAGTGATTATTTTTCAAATTTTTAATCTAGAAAAACATCAAGATACAAAACGGTCTATGTCACAAGGCTTGCATCATGCAGTGGAAGAGGAGAAAAATAAGTCAGGTGTAATAACTGAAGAACAGAAAAAAGAAATTGATAATGAAGAACAAAAAAACGATTGAGAAAAAAAATAAAAAATCTGTTAACCCTAATGAATAAAAAAAAGAAAGAAAGAAATTGAATTATAGAAGTAAGAAAGTAGGTAGGTACTTCAATGTTTCCACAAAATATTTTATAGAATAATTTTAATTGTTTTACATGAGATATGAAAACTACTTTTCTTAACACTTTTTTAATTCGTATTTTAGCTGTAAGTAATCTCAACCCTAGCAAATATTCTATCAATATTGTTTCTAATCTATCCATTACACAAATCATAGTCAGGCACTACAAACTCAACCCTAAATTCATACTGATAAAACTAATCTTTCAAAACACTAAACACTACTAAAATGGTTTTCAAAAGTAATTATCATATAACAATGCTACTTATACTTCCAGATTCATTTTGATGTTCCTTCCAGGTTTTCTGAATTTGTCAACCAGCACCTTTTGAAATGTGTATTGATTGGATATTCAGACACTGAAGAATGCTTAATTAAATTGTTTATAAAATCAGCTAAAAAAAAAAGAAAAAGGACAGTACATTATATGAAAGTGAGAGTATGTCATGCCAAGAAAAAGTGTACAGTACATCTTGTATATACTAATATTTTTTTAAATGAAAATACAGTACACTGGAGTTGAACTCCTTAATTATTATTTTCTTCTTCTGATTATTAGTTACACCTATGAATTATTTTCTGCTTCCCTCTTCATACTTACCTACTCCTCAAACTTGCAACATATTCTAAGACATTATAGTTCACCATGTTTGTTATTCAAACTTTGCCTCGTAGGTCTGTGACTGTCCTGTCTTATGGCTCGACAGCCTGCTACAGGCTTTGGCCAACCAGCAGTGACCCAGCCTCATGGCCATGGGATAAGGGGTTTGTGTGGTTAGCACAGGCATCTTTTCACTGTATATTCTGGTTCTGTATGTAATCTTAGGGGATCTTTCTCATTGTCATGCAGCAATAGATACTGGAACATTTGTAAGGAAAATGTATTGTTATTATTTTTTCCCAGCCAGGAATCAAATTCAAGGTTGTCCCGAGAAAAGCAAGCACACTACCCACCAAGGCCCTGTAGGTTTGGAAATATAAAGGAAATTTTTATTCAAACTATTTCAGGACTGTTGCAATATTGTCAAAATCCTCCCAATGCAATGTTTAATGGAATTTTTTCAGAACAGTTGTTATGTTCATCATCAAATTTGGAAACATAAATGATATATAGCTTTTAAAAGTATTCTTGGATCTATATTAAAATGTTTTAAACTCACAAGAGCATGATTGAATGTGTTTCATTCTCACAGAAGGTATTTGCAATATCAGATATATGTGTAGAATGGTTTCATTAACTTTTTAAAATTGAAATATAACAAGTGTGGCTAAAGAAATTGAAAATATTCAGGAGCCAAAAGAAATTAAAAATAAAAATAAGTTTTAAATTATCAATTAAGTAGTAAACAAAAATTGACTCATTTGTGGGCGGAGGGAGCTTATTAACATTAAAAGAATAAACTTGAGATATAAATAATGATAATGACTCATAGAATTTTTAAACGCATAACATCCAAATTGTTCCACAACTTTGATTACTACAGAAGCATAAGGCTACACTGAGTGGAGAACAAAATAACAGCTTCTGTAAGTGGCTCTTTACATTTGAAATCACAAACGCTCAAAAGAAAAAGGCCAAAAGCAGTGCTTGTTATTTATTTAGAAAATATGCTTTAATTAAAACATTTTCAAGAATTCAGAAGCAAAATTCAAATTTCAAACAATGAAGAGGATTAAAGAGTTTCCTATTAACAAATGACAAAATACTGGGGGAAAAATAAAATATGCAAGTCATTTCTAAAGCATTACAATTTTTTTTTTTTAACTTTTAATAATAAGATTTTTTTAAATTTAATATGTAAGTTCTTGACATAAGTCAGAAATGGACTTGCATGCAAATGATTATTTTATTTGTATTAATTTACATTTTTACACTCTCTTCCTATACCATACTGTAGGGAAGAAATACTAAAGGATACGGCCTACTTAGATATCTATAATTTCTTCTCACATTAATCCATTTCTTCTCAACTACATTCTTACTCTTCAATGCACATCAAAACAATTGTTTCAGTATTCTAATAAATAGCATTTTTAGGTAATGTGTAATGGTCAATTAGTAATCCTATTTAACTAAAATGAAACATGAAGGAATGAAATATGAATAATAAAACTCATGGGAAGTCTCACAAACTAAAATCCATACAGGAATGTAATGATAAACTTTTTTTTTTCTGTAGTACTCACAATAAAAACATACAATCATCTATTTTGAACTACTTTATTACATTATTTTACAAGATTCCTTGTCTATTAATATGTTTCGTCATACTAACAGTCTGACTAGAAGCTCACACAAAATATCGGTCTTTTAATTGTACTTTGGAAATATAGCCATTATAAAAGTCTTTACATGACATTGGTTTCTTTGCTGGAAGACCAATATTTGCCACAGAAATCCAGTTTCCATCACTACACTTCACTCGTAAAAGTTTACTTGGCCTGTGATAATACACATAACCAGGCTGGACACTATTTAGAAACTGATCCACACTTTCCATAGCAATGTCACTTTGATGTAGTTCAACACTGAAAATTTTGATAGTGATTCCATGCCATTTACTTATCAAAGGATGTATACCAACTAATGCTCTCCATAGATTATAAATTTGCAATGCTGACATTTTATTCCAATCCACCAAGGCAAGAGAAGGTGATACACGAGGAGCTGAAATTCAAATATGTATGACATATGAAGTAAAAATTTTCAACGTACACTAACATTTATAAAAGCCAATTATGCACATAAATTATATAACACAGACAAAGTTTCTTACCATATGTAACCCCATCTTCAGTTTGTTCTTTGATTTTTTCCAAGCAAAAAGGCATATGCTTCAAACTCTCCAACAATATTTCTGAACCAAGATGTGCTAAAGCATCTCTCACCACTGGAAATGTTGCTTCCAACGACAAAGGAAATGTTGCTTGTTTTAATATTCCACCAACATCAAACCTGGCGCACAAAAATGTTCATATATGAAAATTACAAAAATATGTATATTTTTTGTCAATTTCTAAGTTTACAGCTAAATACAATTGTAACAGTAAAGAGAAAAACCTATATTTTTCAATACTTAATGAAATAATTGCGGGTTTTGTAGATAGCAACTGATATTGACTTGTTGAATAAAAAATGTACATTAGAAAGGCAAAAATTATCATTTATATGAGAATCAAAGGGATCCTGTAAGTTTGTAATGTTTCCACAATTAATATCATTACAAGGTGAGTGTATATATTTCTTATTAAATAAATTGATATATGATTACCCATATTAAACAATCAAAAAAATTCTTTCATACATTTTTTTTTTTTTCAATTTTCATGGGAGGTTGTAAGGGCAAATCATTTATATGTTTGATGTCGTTTTTTTCCCCCAAAGATTATCTATGATAAAATGAATATTTTGAAAACTTTTAGAAAATTATTTTAGCTTGTTTGCTTAAGTAACCCTCACAACCAGTATTATAAAACTTTGAAGACGAGTAATTTCAATGAGTATTATGATAAATCCAAGTTAGAAATGTCATAATTTTTGGATTTTTAACATAAATATGTGAAACGATATTCGCATGGAAGGTTTGTAGATAACACCACAACAGTGAACATACTTGTACATAATATATTAGCATTTAAGTTATTGTGTATATTTGTGCTCTCCACAGTTTTGTAACCATAAACATAAAACAATTAATGACACAAAATTTGACCACTGTAAGTTAAGTAAATATGTTTAAAACAGGCAGAACTTCTACAAGGCAGAAGTGGAAATATTCTTTACTTGCTATCAGAATCTCAAAATCACTTAACACTACTGTTAGAAAAGGAATTGAACTGTGAATCTTTGGTCTGCTTATCAAAAACAACTCTGAACTATGTTCAAATAGAAATATGACTTTGTTAGGCAAAAAAGAACCTTTCCCCTCCATTCCATACAAAAGTCTGTACTTATTATTGATATAAAGTCATTGATATTTTAGTCTCATTTAATCATAAAAATGTGAAGACTTACTTGTGTGGTTTAATTTGCATGATGGTGACACCTGTTTCTGTGTCACCATTCATTAAAGCATACACAATTGGAGCAGCACCTCTCCATCGAGGAAGTAGACTAGCATGAACATTGAACATGCCTCTGAAATTAATATTAACTACTATGTAATTTCATTTAGCATAAACATATAATAACACTGTAATAAAATTCTGTCCAATTACAAATGCATGAAGTAAGACGCTTACATACAATGGAAACATTGAAATAATAGTTTTTGGAATCAAGTGACCAAATGACACTACAATTCCAAAGTCAAATTCTGCATTGGCAACGACAGGAGGCCAATTATGAACTTTCAGCATTTTCTTTTCTGCATACTTCTGCACAACGTTAGCTTTAGGTTTAATAGATGTTACTACTTCCAACTGTTTAATAAGATTTCCACATTCTCTAAAATAACAGTGCAAATAATTAATTAAATTTCATTTCCCCACTCATAATACCATTCAATTCAATTTTATTTACTTTTCTTCTGTTAATTTTTTTAGACTTATTACTGAAAAATCATCAGTACCAAAAAATAACACTTTCCAAGGTGGTACAGGTGATTTTGGATTAGTACATAAAAATCTAGTTTTTATTATCAGACTTTTCGATGTACACCAACAACTTAATGATAATAAATGTTTTCCTATGTAATTAACACTGTACCCATAGTTAACAGAATTAACCAAGGAGGCGTACATGAGAAATCTTAATAAGTGAAATCAGTGAAAAATTCATTCATATTTTTTTTAATGAGTCAATAACGACCGAACTATTTATAAAATGTCAAATTCAGCAATAACTCTGTTTTACAGTTTGTGTAAACAATATACCCAGAATATAACCATGAACTATATAATATTATAGGACTTGGTCATGGGAGAGGTTAGGAAAACACGACCACACGTTCACACATGAAGCATTTTCATCAACCTTCAGGTTTTGAACATGCATTTGTCAGTATGGCTGGAAACATTGCAAACTTTATTTAACATTGTAAGTTTACGATTAACGTGTTAATGTAACATCCTTCATTTGCATACTTAATAATCTCAACATAATTCACATTTGGAAATGAAGCTACATTTATCTTGAAGAAAAGTTAAATGTATGTGTGCGGAAAACGTTTTCGGCAGCCTGGGCATCTTGTTGGCAGCAGTTGAAGTATGCAGGTGTGTCACGAGACGTAAATCTGTCTCCGTCTCCCAGTGCAGAGAATATCTTCCACTGCTTGATAATTTAGTTCTCTTTGTTTTAAAAGAAAAAATAATTTCGGTGTCGATTTTCACGAAAACATGAACCGATTGTTTGGTAAAGGAAAACCTAAGGAGCCACCTCCAAATATAAATGATTGCATTGCTGGTGTAAGTATATTCTAGATATGCCTGTACAATTTGACACATCCGAACCTCAAATGCTTATGACCATTCTTGTTAAAAATGTGCATTCATTATGCAACTGGCGTGTGCTATTGATTCTAAATTACGTTAAATATCCATTATTTCAATTTGCAGGTTGACAGCAGGGCGGATTCTGTAGAAAAAAAAATTGCACGTTTAGATGTTGAATTGAAGAAATATAAGGATCAAATGAAGAAAATGCGGGAGGGACCAGCCAAAAATGGTGTGAAACAGAAAGCAATGAGAGTTCTTAAACAAAGAAAGATGTATGTTGAAATTTATTTTCAAATTAATGATTTCAGAATTAAACTAGCACTAAACACAACATGAAGTTTTGTGGTCTTTGAAGGCTAAATGATTGGGTGTGCAATAATTTGCTTGAAAATGTATTTTTCTTGAAAAAACAATTATTTTCTATTATTTCTGTTATTGAAAATTTTGCTATTTATGAACAAACATTTTACTATAACACCTCATAGTAATTGATTCACAGACCTTTTATATCATGTTCATTCATATAAAGTGTTTGGATTTCTATTCTTCCAGATCGTCCCCTAGTCACTGCCAAGGTTTGCCTCGTCTTCCCATCTCTTCTTTTGTCAACCTCTTTCACCTCATGGTGTATACTTAAGCACATGTTTTGGTAGCCTGGTTGGTTTCATTCTTTTTATATTGCCATTTCTTTTGATACTTTACCAAGTCTTTAGTGATGTTTTTGGTTGCTAGATTCTTCCTTATTTTTTAATTTCTTATTTTGCCTTTCTTCAGGTCACTTTTAATATTGGTCCCATGTATCTCTTTTGGGCTGCTTTATTTATCCATGTCTTTTATTTCAATACCAATGTTTCACTGCTTTAGAGAAGTGTTGGTTTGACAATAATATGGAGTCTAATTTTTGTTCCTGTGGTCATGTAATGAAAGTGTCATTTTATACAGCCATTGAATTTGTTGAAGTTTGCCAACTCTTCTTCCTGTATTGAGATTTTATTACCTAGGTAGGTAAAGGTTGACACTTGTTCTATTATTTTGTTGTCAATCACAATTTTTGTCCTTTAGTCCTTGCCTTTAAAGCCCATTGATTTAGTTTTCATTGTTGACACTCTTTGTCTATACTTTGCTACAATATCATTCAGTCTCTATATTGCAATTTGCAGTTCATCGTCTGATGTCATTACAATTACTCAGTCTGTATGAAGTCTTTATTTCCTGCTGACAGGGACTCACAAAGCTATTTGGGCATTTATTAATTTTACCAAAAATTGCTTATATTTTCCTCGGAAAACTACATGATCATTAGTTTGTGCACAAATTTGAAAGAATAGAATGTTCTTATACCAGAAACATTATTAAGATATGTACTTTCAAAGATATGTATTTGTTTGCTTAAAAAAATGAACCCGTGATGCAGAGATTTTGCTTCAAGAAAACTATTCCGACAGCCATTAGTGCAACATGGTTATGGATGTTTTGATCTCCAGCAAGAACGTTGAATCCTTCAACCCTTACTGTACATTCAAAGTCACCTGTCAATAAATGAACCAGATTTGTGGGAACCCTAACATTTAAGTGAAATGAGACACAGAGGAATGAACACCACTTTTGAGCTGCGTCAGCTGGTAATTTACAATCAGGCAAAGGGCAAATCATACCGAAAAATTTGTAAAATGCAATTACTGAAAAGAGCACAATGAGTATCATAATCTCACGGTACATCAATGAAGAGAGGATTGCACTATGACCTGGAGGAAGATGCACTAAAACTTTTTCTGACTGAGAAGCGAATCTCATAGTAAGAATAATAAAGAAGGATCCTAGTGTTAGTGCACCAAAAATTACTAAATGCTTAGAAATTTTCATTGGCAAGAAAGTAAATCCAAAAACCGCGCAAAGGGTAATATGGAGGTCCAATTTCCATAGCCGCTTTGTCACAAGAAAGTAACTTGTAAGTAAAGAGAACCAACTGTAAAGGCACGGGTTTGTCAAAGACACAGAAAACGATGAAGATTGTTGGAATAGGGTAATCATCTTTCACAAATCGAAAATGAACATCTTTGGATCCAATGGAGGAATTTTGTCTGGAGAAAACTCATTTAAGAGTGGAAAGGAGCAACTGTGAAGCACGAAAGAGGAAATGTCATGGTGTGGGGCTGCATGTGAACTTGTGTTCGTAGAGCAAATGATGAACAGGTTCAACTATCTTGACATTCTGAAAAAAAATGAAAATAAAGTGCTAAAAATCTTGGTGTTCTTGTTAGATTTTATTTTTGTCAGTACAATGATCCCTCGCATGAGTCGCAGGTTGTTTAACTTTGGCTGCTGTAGAATTGCCCGAAGGTACTTCATCTACCCCCTTTTACCAGATTACCAGATTTTATTGTTAGAGAACATTTTGGGGGGAAAATTAGAAAAGGTGATAAGAAAATTAGACTGAAGTCTAGTATTCGGTACAACTTACAGAAATCGTTTACACTGGCACTTCATGCCACTCTGATGGCAACTGTGCAGTTCGAATTCTGGAAGAATGCTACATAAATGAAGAAAAAATTATTGTTCTATATCTCAAAACTTTGTACAAATTATACCAATTATACTGCAGCGTAAGGGGATTCCTACAAGACATTGTACTCTCTTACTGTGTTATTTTTTTACGTGTTTTTCTTTTGGAATATTATTTACTGTGCATATTTATTTCTATTTCTACTCAAGTGTCTGAATAGTTTTGCGACTTTAGTTTTCAGCATAAAAAATTCAAATGTTAAAATATCCGTTAATTACTAGGATTTTTATAAAACTTTCCTAAATACTGCTTATGAATGTAATATAATAATATTCTTTATTACTTTTATTTTCATCTTTTAATATTCCTAATCCATAATTATTCTGCTAAATTTCAAGTGACCTAATAGTTTTGTGAGTCACTGTTTATATTGAACACTAGTGGTGATAAGAGGAGAACGTTGTGTGAGGCCCTCATTAGGGGGGGATTGCTGCAAATGTGCCGCCTTTTGCATCTCGTATTTTAACATTCAATTTTTCGTATAGGATTCTAACTGTGTGTTCTTCAAAGTTTTCGTCCAGAAGGATGTCCCATATCGTCTTCCTATGTATTCTGTCATATGCCTTCCCAAAATCTATGAAAATTGATGGACATTTCCAGGCTCTGTTTGTTTCTTGTAATTATCTGGTCAGTTGTGAATATTGCATTAACTGTCCCTCTGCCCTTCCTAATTGCCCCTCTCCCTTTATTTTCTCACTGTGTTCAATTAATTTATATTTTAGTGTGCTTGTATATATCTTGTATGCTGCAGTCTGTATAGTTATTTCTCTGTGGGTTTTGTTGTTGGTTTTTGTGGATATTCATCACTGTTTCAGTTTGCCATTTTGTTGGGATTTTTTTCTTGTCCATATTTCATTTTTACTTCTAAAAATTTCTCCTCTAGTGCTTGTCCTCTGTATTTTATTAATTCACTGTTTATATTGTCTGGTCAAGGATTGTTGTATTCTTCATGAGTGTTTGTTATGTCCTTGTTAGATTCTTCCTCTTCTTGTTTGCACCATAGATTTCTGTAATGTATCAATTTTGTCCTCGGGTATTACACAAGAATTTAAGTTGTCTCTTTTTTCCATGTGTAGTTTCTTTATTATTTTGAACCCTGTTGTCTGAGTGGGGGTTCTATCTCCAGTGATTTCACAAATTTCTCCCAGTTCTCTGTATTTTTCTTGTTATTCTTCTTAGTTCACAGTTTCTTATATTCTGTATGTGATCTGTCTCTGGTCTGTAAAAATCTGTGCACTTTTTGCATCTTTATTTACATAAATTCTTCTTATATTTATATGAATATATAAAACATTTGGTGATGGTGAACAACTGGAAAAATTCCCTTGTTACCACACTGTTACAGAATTTTATTTCTTTGAATAAATATAATACAAATATTTCATTGTTTTGTTAAAAGGTATGAACAACAACTTGATAATTTGAGACAGCAATCCTTCAATATGGAACAAACCAACTATGCAACACAGACATTAAAAGATACTCATGCTACTGTGACTGCAATGAAAGCAGGTGTTAAGCAAATGCAAAAGGAGTTCAAGAAAATAAATATCGATGAAATTGAGGTAAGGTTCTATTGTAAAAGTACAATTATAACTCGAAGCCAGATTTTAATAAAATTTATTTCTTTTTATTGATTTCAACTCTATCATTTTTTACTACTTCCATCATTTTTAAAACAGTTTTTGCTAATTTCATTGATTTTAATATCATTTTAATGGTACTTGCTTCAAATAATATTTACAAGTTGCAACAAATGTTCTCCACAATATTTCTGAGAAGCCTATTTGATTTCTTCGCTTAGAACATGTAATGTCAGCCGTTTCTTATTTTAGTAGTGTTTCGAATTTGTGGTTTATAATTGTTGTAGTATATAACATTAGTGATTTATGAAAGAGTTGAAATGATTATTGGAGGAGTAAAAACTGGTTATTGAAAACTATTATTTCTTTTAGTTTTTAAATTGATGAGCAGTAGCGAATTTTGTCTTAAATGTAATGAGATAAGTGCATTGATTGATGTTTATGAATTGCCGTCAGGACATACAAGATGAGATGGCTGACATGTTGGAACAAGCAGATGAAGTTCAGACAGCTCTAGGTCGTTCTTATGGCACTCCAGATATTGATGAAGATGAACTCGAAGCGGAATTAGATGCCCTTGGAGATGAAATTGGACTGGATGATGACACTACATATTTAGATGATGCAATCACCGCTCCTAGTGCACCAGACAAAGAACCTGGAGCTGAGGCCAATAGAAATAAGGTGAATGTATAGTTTTTCTTATTAGTCATGTAATAAATAACATGCCTGTTTCCTGCGATCAGTAGAGGTCCATGATCCTTATTTAATGAATTGCTGAAAAACACAAGAAATTTGACAGATGATTATTGATAACTTTGAAGTCAAAAAGTTAGGATTTGTTAGACTAATTAATATTTAATCAAGAAATAAATTGAGTAGGAAAGAAGTAGTCAGGAAATGAATTGTTAATTTTTATTATTGAATTGATTCAATATTCTATAAAATAATGATATTTTCTTAATTTAAACTAATGTTGAATTATAAAAATATAATGCAAAATCCTTTACTAAAATTTTAAAATATATTTATGTTATAGTGATTTAAGGATTCTTTTGTTATTAATAATTTTTACCAATTATGTCACTTCGATATCCTATTAAAAGCAAATCTAGTGAGATTTCAATTTCATATAATTTCAAATTTTATTGCTCATTTCCAAAATTTTGGAACTGTATTCTGTAAATTGTATAAAAGTGTTTGCATGTCAGCTGCATACTCTCGTTAGTGTTTTTAGTTTTGTTGGTATTGTGTACAAATCTGAAGAATTGATTCATTGAATAATTTAATTTACATGTGTATTGATAATATATTAATAGTAATTTCAACGTATGTTTAATAGACATAGATCTTTCTCAAATTAAAATTTAAGTTGTACACAATACTTATTACTTCACAAAATTACAATATTTTTACATGTTATGTATGAAACATATTCATTCACAAGATAAGTGAAAATTAAATGAAAATAGGGATTAAATATTGTAGAAGATATTTAACATCATTATACATTCTGTACATCATTTAGATAATATAAAACATCAGAACACAAGAACACATATCTGTGTTCATTGACAGATTGATCATGTTGTGTAGGTTAAGATGTCCAACTTGGTACATTTTAGAATATGAAATTTCAAGGAGTCTGTCATTTGTTTCTACCTCCGTATATGCTCAACCAGTCAATCTGAAATTATATCCGTTCAATATTATAATCATTTTTGTGACTTCTGAGTCATGTTGGTAAGATAATTTTTACATGTTTGTTTTTGTATTCCAGGATGGTGTGCTTGTTGATGAGTTTGGACTACCTCAAATACCAGCATCGTAAGATTATTTGTCTGACCTTTTTTTATTTTATTGTTACATTCTACAACTTTTGTGTAGTAATGTTTTGCTTAAAGTTCATTCATAAAAAATGGAATGGAAAAGACAAAGATGTGTAGGGAGTTTCAAGGTTTCTCTTTTCTTTCTCTTTCTCTTTTTTTTCCTCTTTCTTTCAACTATTAGAAAATTCTTTGAGAGTTTTGTAACTGCATGTGCTATTGTAAGTAATAATGTATTTGTGTATATTTTAGATATGACTGACTATGAGTGTTTATTAACAAGGGTTTGTGATGTACGTATTTTTTATTTAAGTATCTTTTGATGGTGTGAAGTGTTTTCAATAATGTCTACTATTTTCATATATTTTCCTAGAACTACTTCACAGATTAATATAAACCTTTTTGCTTGTTTTGTGATAATACATATTGCTTTCTGTACTAGAGAATGCGTAAATTTTATTAAATATATCTGGTGCTAAATACTAAACTATAAAATGATAACTCTATTAAATACATTTAATGTGTTTCATGTACTACTGCATTAGAAATCATTATGTCATTAATGTAAAAATTAGAACAAAATAATAATAATAATAATAATAATAATAATAATAGTAACCAAGGGTGCCTTTGGGAATTCAAAGAGAGGTATACTTTCACTCCTTCAGCTTATGAAGTAAGTGCAATGCTGTTCTCAGCACAAGAAGTTAATATGGCTTTAATAATATCATTGGAATTTTTGAAGTATTTATGAATCTGTATTATAATTAAGTAAATTGCAGAGGATTGTTAACCAATATTTGATTAGTCAGAAACATACACTGCACCCTAATTATCAAGCAATTGTTACATTTGCTTTACTTACTGCTGGCACCCAAGTCAGTTGTTACAAAAGTGTAATACTGTAATAAAATCAGAAATAACAGAAATAAGCATTTTTGATTCTCAATTTAAAACTCCTCTACATTCTTATTTTCTGAAAACCTGAAATTGACAACCAGTTTGTAGTTTCTTTTTATCTACACATTTTTATGGAAACTGCAGAATCTGAAGTTTCCTTATGTCACCCATCCTTCAAGTTTGTTTATTTTGGTTCGTAGGTATCAATTGTCACTTAATTTCTAGTAATTATCGTTAATGTATTTTTAACCGATTTAGAAAGGATGAAGTAATGCAATAATTCATTGAGAATGAATAATTCAATACTTTTTGTTGGTGGGGTGGAGTCAGCCATAATTTCAACAAATGAACCTCGATATAAATATTTTTCCTTTGCCTTAAATGGTATAATAAATCCACTATAATTCAATAATGAGATGCAAAGATATCACACTATAATTTATTATAATTAATTTTTTAATAATGAAGTGGTATCACACTTCAACAATGCAAACAAAACTATCATCCAAGCTGTATGCAATTTTTTTTCTAAAATTGCCATTCTGTTATGGATTTAATATTAGCCGTACAAATTTGAACAGATCTTTGAGGTTTTGGGAATACTCTGTATGAAGCTCATAGTAATTTTAAAATTTTACAGAAATGGCTACAGATGTTTTTATTTTTTAACATATGTAGCTTAAATTCATTGAAGTGCTTCCAAAAACAGTAAAGTCTATTTTTTATTAAAATGCTCTATTTCTTAAAAATTTCAAAAGAAGATTTTCTTAGAAATATCTGAATTATTTTTCTTTCAATTTGATGAATCAATAGAACATAATGCATTGAATCATTTGGCATGAGTGCCTCTTTGCTTAAAAAGTTTGAATCTTTAAAAATATACACAAAAGTTTACATGTCCTTAACACAGGAATTAAGAGAGACTTTGCTTATTTATAACAATTAACTTGAAAAAAAAATACTTTTTAACATGCATTTTCTCTTTCATTTCTTCAGTTGCTTTACATAGCAATATTTGTTTAATAAAATCATTGACAAATCAAAAGACAAAATGTATGCTCAGAGTTATGTGTGCACATTTTTTTTATGGGGGCAGGTGGAAATCTTTAAAAGACACTGGGTAGCCCAAACTACCAGCGTGTGAGATTTTTTGTCACTAGAACTGAACCTCCCTTCTCAGTTCAACCCGCAGAACTGGCCATATACATTTTATCACAAGGACTGGAATAGTGACTCAGTCACATGATGTATTTTAGTTATTATAACCTGACAAGAGTCGAGTGGGATCAGATTTCCCTCCCTTCTTTCTATCTCCAAGTCTCATAATTCCAGCAGTACTGCTTGTGTGAGTGTGGGAGGAGGGGATGCACATGAGCATGTGGATGAGCACATATGCATGTTTGTTTATCCCAAAATTTTGATTTTGGTTTGTTTCACCCAAAATGTTGAATTTAGACTTTTTTTAAATTTTGTAGTTGGTTCTACTTTTTCCCTTACAATGTGTGGTAAAATCTTGAATTAATGCTATATCATCTTATCTAGTAAACAAATGCTGCCTTCTGTATTCCTGGTATGTTTTAACACTTCCGCTAACATTAGGATGTTAGATGAATATTTTTGTCATTTCTCTTAAGTTTGAACTTCTAATTAAATAAGTTCTGAAGTAGAAGTAATGTAATTTTTGTATATAGTGCATGTAAAATGGGGGGGAAAAAATCAAATTTGGCATCAACATGTCACTTTAAAACATTTTGTCTTCCTGCTACAGGCCTCTTACTTAAATCTTCAGCACAACGAACTTTGTAAATGTTCAACATCAGTGATGGTTTATTGTTTGAAAGAACAAGATTTAGTGTTGTGGATATTCTGTAAGTATGCAAAGGATTCCAGAAGAAGGAAAAGAAGAGATCTCTGAGATATGAATGTTAGCAAATGAGCCAAGAAGCTAGTATCATTTCTTAAAAGTTCTTATAAAGTATTCAGTACTGATCAATACTGCTGTTCATCAGATTTGTTTGTGACTGTTTTTTTAAAAATTCCTGAACTTATTTAGCTCCTTCATTACTTCTGAAATTAATTTTAGTTCTTAAGCTTTTTGAGAATTGAGATTTTTGTGGAGAAATCTTCAAAGCTCTTAAAAATGAGAAATATTTTTACATGTATTTTTTTATATTTCTTAGAAAAATATTGCAGTAAATGAGCGAAAGGCATCTTGCATTGTTTGATAAATGAAATACTTAGTCTGCACAAAGAAGGTTTTAAAATAAGAAACCTTAAAGGGATATTAACTCGTATAATTCAATGATGTCGTAGACTTCCATATGTCGTATGCTGTCATATAATTCAACTATTAATTATCTTAAGTGTGTAACTTCAACCCTTGTTGTAAAATTTATTGTACAAATAGTTCTTGTTACGTTAATTTCTTTTATGTGGAAGATACGAGTAACCCAAATTAAGTATTAAGGATGGAATTTGTTATAACTGCAGGTTTTGTTACCATTCAACTTCATTGCTCTTTATTGTGATGTTCATTGAAAAAAAATATAAATTTCAATATTTTTTGGAATTACAAGAAGAGGAATCGGGAATGTTTGCAGTTGTTGTTTAGGTAATTGACAGAGTATTTCAAAAGACATCCGATCAAATGATTTTAGAAAAATTGTTTGTATATCTGATAGCTCTGTTTGTATTCTATTTAAAACTCATTGCCTTTAACTGCACAAAATTTATTTTCAAAAATATCAGTGCAAATTTTATTTGTTTTGTCAGTGTTCCAATTTTTGTTGCTGCAGTATTCTCTACCTCATTCTTAAATCTCACAGTACCCATAGGGAAATTATCTGATTCAAGAAATACAACAACTCTCACATGCTGTGAATAAGAAATACACTTTTTGGTTGATCTGTCTTACACTTATTATAAGGGTCTTAGAGCTTAATGAAAATATTGTAGTGTGTCCATTACCTTGCAAATTGTCACATACAGTCCTGAATTAAATTAATAATTTTATTAGCAGCATGTGAAAAAGCAGCTCTGCCAGTGAAATTCTGCTTTAAGAACTATTGCTTCATCCATTTTGGATTATGTACATTATGCTAAATATTTAATAACTCACTTCTTTACCCCTCTCATTTGAAACTCAATGTTTCTTCCGAATTCAAGTTCTGTTGTATCAGGGGAACTTGTATTGAAAGTAAAAATTGAGTCTTTATTTTAGTTGTGTTTTTATCTTTACATCATCCACTACTCCAGGGCACTAGTGTTGCAATTCTGTGGAACATATTTTGAATCCTTATTTCATCTTGCAAAAATTTTATTCACTGATGATTAATGGATAGTATCTTGCCCCTCAGCAAACCCTACATTTATCTTGTTATAATCTATTGTATATTTCCATTTGATAACAAAATATTGTATTATAAGAAACTTTTTGTTTTGTTTTTACATATGTAATATTAAAAAATAAATGCTATAATATTGAAGAGTTATAATTAAAAAAAAATTGTTGACTCCTGGGTAAATGAAATTTTTTTATAGTTTAGTACGAAATAACACTGAGTACTCTCATTTTGATTATGATGTGTTTTATTCCAATCTTATTAAAATGAATTAAAATCTTTTACTTTACCTCTTGAGTTTCACAAACTTTCTTTGGACTTAGGAGCTTTTCTACTGGTGTGTGTGTTGCAGCCTATCCATCAGTTTGTGATTTCAAAACATGATGAAACACCTTAGTATTTGCTGTATTCTTTCATTGTGCATGTGCATGAAACTACACAGGCATGTGCAGCCTAAAACAAGAGGGGGTGACTATGTTTCTCAACCCCCTTTCCCATTTTTTTACTTATGTCATATTTTAGTAGTAAATAAAAATATACTACAAAGATGATGACATTATAACATTAATGAAACAATAAATCGATTTTATGTTGAACCATTAACAGGTTGCCAAATGACTTGTGTAACAATTCTCCAAAATGTCAGGTAAAAAAAAGGGAATTTGGGGATTGGATTTACAAAATGAAAATAATTTATGTGCGATAGAGCCGCTTTCGAAGATATCAGGGGGTCCCGTCCTTCGTGGTCCCTCCCTTCACCGCCTATGAAACCACAAGTTGCACGCAAACTCTCTTAAATACAGTTCGCAAGAACGTTTTTCTGCGCTTGAAAAGTAAAGCGTTCGATAATGAGAAGCATTTTTGTCCAGCGCAGCGAGGAAATTTGTGTTCTATTTTTGCTGCCGTCTGAAATTACAGCACTGGCCGCTCAAGAGAGCGTCTGCCTTCTGCGAGATCGCGAAAACGGATGGAGATGGACCGCCCCTTGGGCGACAATTAGGTATGAGATAGCACAGTAAGGAATGAACAAGGTAAAACTAACTTAAGTATGACATGTGAGGCTCGTTTGTCATGAACAAAAATACTTTACGGGAATTTAGAATTATTGTTCAAAATCGCTCCGCAAACAGCAACAAGCGATGTCACCGGGCATCAGTGTAGTTTTGCGCACGCATACGTCGGGGTTCAAATTAGCGACAGTCGCGTGAACACTTGCGACAACGTGTGATGGACGTGTTCACAAGTTCCTTGACGGACGGCGTGTAGGCGTTCGAGCATCGAAGGGAGGAAATACATGGCGTGTGGGAACGCCGTCGATTAGGGTATCGGTGTACTTCGAGCTGCAGAACTAGCAATCTCGTTTAAAGTAGTACATTTCACATTACACAGATGTGGCGTAAGCATCTATTTGTTGCTGTACGAACAGCGCGCCGCAACCTACCTCAACTGCTCAAAAAATTTCCCTGCTTTCCCTTGACAATTGCTCTAAGGTAAGAGCGCACCGCGGAGGCCGCGCGGTACAGCAGTAATTAGTGAGAATTTTATTTATTTATGTAAATAACAGTAAAAGCTGTGTGACGTGTGGGGGAGAAGGTCTTCTGCGCGTTTTCTTCAGCCCCAGAATTTCTTCCCATCATTTTAACTGTAAATAGTTAAATGTGAAAAGTTTCAAAAAATCAAAGTTGGCAAATTTGAAAAAATAGATGTTTTCGCTCCCGAGTTATAGATTACTTATTTACATTGTAAACGAACTGCAAATTTAATTATTTTTTATTGCTAACAAAATGATATGCGCTACTCCTACCATGACAACCAAAAGTAGAGTTTAACAAAACGTGCGTATAGCGAAGCTAGGTATTACATTAATGCCCAGAAGCAAAACGAGGGACCACCTCGGCATTTGCCCAACGGCTCACATCGTTGCGGCCGCCGTGTACTTAGTATCTATTTTTTTCTGGTGCAGTGCGAGCACCGTACAGTACAGGGTAAAGAATGTGTACAGTATTTCATAGAAGAAGTAGTGTTTCTGCTATTTGATAATGCATTTGTCTTCAGGATGCTGCCTTTTGGTGCGGGTAAGTCTTGACATCCTGCATATAGGAAATAGTATTTGTACTATGGATAATTTAACAAAAAATATTTATTTTATTTCATTGGTTTCATTTACTTAAAGTAAAACAAATAAGAATGGAGTTTATGTACAATTTATAAATAAATAAGAATCTTGGAAATACTTAATTTTATTTTATTGTCTTCAAAGTATGAATAAAGAAAACGATGTCAAATTCAAAGCATAAAAATTAATAGTACTCTCTGTTTTTTTGCATTCATTTTATTGATTGTGTTACTAGTAAATATTAAGTTTGACTTGAATATATATTTTGATTATCAATCTCTAATATTTTAAGCATAGAACAAATAAAGTAGATCTTTGGCTTATCTACCGTTTTCTTTTTCAAATTAGTAATGATGAGTGAATTTAGTATGAATGAGTGATTTTTAGGAAATTAACTTTGATATTTCTTTTAGGGAGTGTACTAATATGTCTCCATGAATTCTGGATTCAATTTGATATTTGGGGGCTGTAGAGTGTGATAATAAACTTTGCATTATTATAAAAATGTTGAACTTTGAGTAAAGCAATCGTGAGTTTGATTATATTGTATGAAAACAAGTCTCAATTTGTTGGCACTGGATTACAGATTAAACATAAGATTGATAATATAATGCTTATGTTCTGTAGTTTTATCAAACTCTGATGATCCTGCAAAAGCTTCACCCAAGCAACCACCAAACCATGCCACTACCATCACATGACTGGAGGAAAATATTCATTGCCGTCCTTTTTTATTCACACTTTTTTATAATGATTCTTAAAAAGTGTGCATTTTCATTAATCAGGAAATAAAATTTCATCTCATATTTCTGTTCTATTAGAGTAAGTTGTATTATGGTTAATATAATCTACATGTTTTCCCTTATCTCTTTCACTAATGAATGATTTGGCTGAAATTTATGCTGTAATGGTATTGTTGGCTATACAAAACTAGTTCTTGTGGAGTTATTTGTCAACTTTCTGAATTCTAAGTTTCCTCATCTAATCATTTAAATAGAAATATAACTAACCCCATCTAAATTTTTCTGTAATTTTCCATGTCCAAACTTCTTATCAATTATCTGAATAGTGGATCTTCATCTCCATATCATTTTAGATACTTGACATAACAATCAAGAATTATGAGCACATTAGGGCGTCATTAGAAAATCCATCTAAAATTAGCGGTCACCGTAGAAATCTTAGTGGACATCAATATTATAGGTTGATTTTACTTTCTCGCTCCTGTTTATATAGTATAGAGACAGTATTGTAATACTGCGAAAAACTAGTGCTACAACAGCACATACTTTCTCGTAATAGTGTTAATGGTTATATAATATGACAATTTCTGTCTTATATTGCAACTACCATTTGATTTTTTTTAACAAACGAAGCGCGATGCGTATTTTAGCCGTAAATAAAAGAACACAGGGAAACAAAATAAAAAAGTTGACAGATCCGAAGACTTGACACATATTTCTCTGTGTGACAACGCGTTGAATCCGAATCTGAAGCCGGAATTCTTCAGTTCTTTATCGCAAAAAAACACCGTGAAATTGTATTTTTTATTTATATTAGGGGGTTATTGCCAGACCAAAAGACTTTGCACCTGTTTCTCTATGTCGACGCGCTAATGCGAAGCCAGAATTGCGCCGCCGCTCTCCAGTTTTTTGTTGTTGTTTTTTTATCACGAAACACATGCGAATACTAGATGGTGTCTTGCAGCATTATTCTCTACAGAATCCAAAAGGTGTCAGACCTAAGACTTGACACGTTTCTCTATGTATGTCAATGCGCTGAATCCGAAGTCAGAATTGCGCTACCACCTTCCAGTTCTTTTATCGCGAAAAAATCACTACGTACTTACGAGTAATACACGTAGTACAGAGAACGTTATGAAATGCTGCGGAAAATAGATTTCGAGATTTC